GTGCCGCTGCTGCTGCTATCGTCGCCACTGCAGCGACAACAGCCAGGATCTCGAGCTATCGCTCGAAGGAGAACGCGCGGCGCGATCGCTTCCTCGCCCGAGACGACAATCCGCGAGAACGACGAAAACGACAATGATCTCCACGTGCGCTGATGTGCCGAATTTGGCGTTCCTTCGCCTGGTAGACGCATTGCGCGAGGATCATCGTTGCACCGGTGCGACGATCCAGCGATTGGACCATTGTAACGTCTCGCGTCTCCCTAGGGATCGTGATCCGCCTGCTCTCTATTTATTTAGGCCTACCTGCTTACACCGGCACTGCCTGGGATGCCGAGAGCTTTTCCGGACAGATGGTGAAAGGGGGAAATATGGTGATTGTAGGTGATATAAAGATTATGGCTATTGATAGGAATAGAGACTAAACAATTGTTTTATTTAACAATGAGACAATATGATAGTTGAAAGTGTAATATAAATGAGTGATAATACTTATAATTATATAATTAATGAATACAAATGTGGTTTACATTATATAGCTGCTGGTAATGAGTTACAATGAAGTGTTGAGAGAATGTACAGTTATCCTGCCCGGTGGAAGTAATGAAGGTGGTACGGTAATTTGTGAGGGGTTTCAGTGAGAGAATAGGACTCCAGTTGGTAAATGTAGGTGGCTGTCTTGTTGTTGAAGGTGTCGTCATGTGTTAAATCTATCAATTCTATGTCTAGAGTTTCTGTCGTCGAACGCTGTTTAACCAGCCGAGGGTTGTGTGTGTGAGCCCTGGAAGAGCTTGATAAAGAATGCGAATTGTAACGTCCTGCGACGTTCTCTCCACCATATCATTTTTTCGCCTCTACATTAAAAGGCCAGCGAGACATATAGGTAGATTCAACCATAATAAGTAATTGTTACTATTAAAATTTATCGATAAAAGTTCATATCTTTTAAAATAATAATAATTTTAGAAAATCGCGCGGTGCGATTTAAGGCTCCTTCAAAGTATTACAAATTATGTCCTAATAAAATTTCTGTAAAATCGATAGTTTAGAAGTTACGGCTATTTGAATGTCTCGACCAATCAGGAAAAGGCATGTTTTTCTCAGTAACTATAAGGCCTAGAAGAAAAATCTTAATTGCTAACAATAGCATTAAAAGACCTCTATTTAACGACCATACTAACATTATGAAAAACATTAACAATTAATAAGAAACCAACAATGTTACTTACCAGTAGACTTCAGAAAATTCTAAAATTCATACGCAGGGACTATTGGGACATCAGTAATGCGTACCTTCCGTAAAAATTAAGAAAAGTCAATTTAAAATATTTTAACACCTACGTACATAGAGAACATCTTAGTGAAACATAAGCAAATGTCAAAACCTCAGAATATTAATTACAAAAGGAAATAATGCCAAACGAAAACAATTAATTCTTGCCCACAAACAGAGAATCCTTCTGACAGTACATTCTCAAAATTTGGTAATTCTTACTTAAAATTTAATAAACCTCATTTATTTAAGTTCAGGGGTCGCTTAAATACTCTATTTAGCTTGGAAATCCACCATTTTTGCCTTGGTCACGTTTAAATACTTTATTTAATTTAATTTAAGCCTTCTGTTCACGTTCAAGCTCTTCTTAAACACTGCACTCTTTTAAATTCGTACAACGGCTTGAACTCATCACTAATAATAAAAATTAATTGTTCATCGAATCTTCTATTACCATAAGCTTCTATAAGGTCTAAAACTCGGTAATTTATACATAAGAACCGTTTATAACAATTGTTAATTAATTACCGACGCCAATAATAACGAAACCTACCCAAGGGATCTACCTTACCGACATACGTAAGTAGAGAGCCCTATGGTAGAACTCAGCCTTGCCGAGAAACATTAATTTAACAACAGTAATAATAAGGATCCCTGTAATAAGAAATCCTATTTTTCCAGTTAACAATATTATAAATCTCTACACTCTAAAACCCACTGTTAACAATATGCATTTATTATAATAATTCTTAATAACCACATTTAAACATTAATAACAAATATCTCTTTTATTATAACACATGCATATTGTATTTATAAAAATCATAACTAATTAACATTATAACTTTCTATTACACTATTCATATAATACTAAATTAGGCGTATATTATAACCTTAAGAACCACACATATATAATATTAACCATTTTTTATTATATTATAATATTATAAGGCATAAATAATTACGCGCACATATAAATTAATAAGTCAGACTGGCGACAGGAAGTCTCAAAGATAAGGCACGCACGCAGCCGGGCCACCGAAGGTGCTCTGGAATCCCCGAGTAACCCGAGCCCATATCAGGTAACATAGGGCATCCTGTTGATCACGCTCCTTATCACATCCGGCGGCGCGCCGAGATGTCTCGATGCCCCGTCAGCATCACGCCACTCAGTCCCACTCTGAAAAACCTTGAACGCTCCTACTCTGGATCCCTCTCGTATAATCCCATTACTCCTACCATATAGCCTACCCCACTCTTGAGTTCCATTGTCCGGACCGAACGAGGCCCCGGGAGCAGCTCCCACCGCAGAGTCGACATCGGAAGTTCATACAGTACAGACGTGCCTCTTAGGAGTGCCTCAAAGACATCTTTGTTAATTTGACGCAAAGAGGAAAAGTGTCTCTGAGCGACCGTGCCACCACGGACAACGGTCGTCTCGCATAAGAGCCTCTTCCTACGCTCCTTCAGAGCCTTTGCCTTGTGCTATTCAAAATCTGGAAGATTTCTTAGGAAACTTGCCAGAACATCCACGGTGTTTTATAATACTCAAAGTGTGCGGATAAGTCGACTCCCCGCTCGAGTTGTGCCGTGGCTAGAGTGGTCCCAACAGTATTGAGAGTATTCTGGAATAAAAAAAGCCTGTTCTTTGAGATTTCTCTGCAAAAGTCTGAGCTACTGAAATAAATAGTAAGTATATAATATTTTAATGCACAACACTCACATACACCGCGTTTCGCGCAAGTGAAATACAATCGCGATCTAAGCCTTAGGAACATTGTTACGCGAGTGAACCAGTGACGTTTCACCATACGCCAAGTCGAATTATTTAACAGATACCATAGCGTCACGCTGAAATTTTCGTTCATGTCGGTTCGTAACTGCCTTACATAAGGACCATTCATTATAATCCGAATAGTGTATTATCTACGTTTAGTTTGTCAAACCGCTCTTAGAATTTCGTTCCGATTTCCTTAGGATACGCTATACAAGCTAGTATATATATAAAGAGAGAGAGAGAGAGACAATCTTCAGATTCTTCTTTTTCTAAATCGTGATTACGAAACCCCAGTGTCTGTCAACGCAGTGAACTACGCTCACACACTTATTATTCCCTTTCCATTCCTTCTTGCGGGCGCATGACAACGGTGCCAAGCACAGGGTTACGCGCGCACGGCATCGGTGCCAAGCACAGAGCCGTATTGGTATAGTCAGAATCCTTATCAGCAGTGGCATCCCACCACTCTGACATCGTCTCCAGGCGAATTCCTTACGCCGGAGACTCTGCTTTGAAAATCTGCTTACCCCAAACTCCTAGGCCTTCACCTCGTTAATAGATATTGAATAAAAATAAAAATTACAATTATCTCGTAACAAGGACTCACAGAGACGTTCCTTCATGTTAGCCTTCTATCTATCTCTCTCATTAGCTATTTTAGTTATAAGACATTTATATACCTTTACAATTTCATGTATAATTATGTACTTGATATAATATTCCCACTGTTTCCACTGTAACCTGCACTTGCACATATAAAATATACTGCGTTTTACTATTACCATTACCCGTAAAGACTATTCTATATTAAACAATCAAGTTACTAAGGTTTCAGATTAATAATATTTTTACAATCTCATTGTTTATTTAGACGAAAGTATATTCTTAATAACGACAAGATCTTGACATTATCCATTATAAAAGCTGGAATAATATAAATCATTTCATGAAGTGCATCCTTCCCCACCCACATATATATATGTATATGCATTTATTAAATTGTAACTGATTTTATTGTGTATGTGTAGACGTGTGCCATTGCATCGGCATACGCCTTAATTACCTCACTGTGTTACTTGCTATTGTACAATTCCATTAAAATCACCGATTTTCTTGTACAACGAACATATGCCATTGCATCGGCATACAATCCTTCAATATTTTCTACTAAGCATTTTAATTTTATGCAGCATCCTTGTTTTATCGGCAGACTTTTTCCTCTTATTCGAGCATTTTCTTGAAAGGAAGATATTAAGCATTCATAAATTTTTGTCCTTTTTATTCAGTTACTTAAATCAATTGGTGCCATAACATCTCTTGCCAGAGGAATTTATAGTTCATTAACCATTAAATCTGAATCTTACATTATTAAGCATAGATCTTGCTCACTTTTAGGGAAGCGCCTTACTGGAGCTACCCGCCTCTATCCTTGTCCAGACTGAGGAGCGCCTTATGGGTGCCTCTCGGCTCAAGCATCCTATCCATCCCGTCCAACTCATAAGACCACCCCTTCTCCATCAAGATCAGGAAATTTAACTTGTGAATTAATAACCTGTACAGTGCTTAGCATCCTTCAATCTCAGGGGCGCAGCTGACAGCCGCCACCCGCCTCAATTATCCTTCTCCTACAACCAGCATAACCTAACTGCCAAAGCATTGGTATTAAGCATTAATTATTAGTACTTTTATAGTACTCTGGCAACGGATAACTAAAGTCACAAGAGTCCTTTTCACTCAATAATTAATTTTATCAATTGCTATTTTAACCTGTCCGACCAAAAATGTTATTCTTAAACTCAATCCGTTAGATGCCAAATAAACATCGCGGGGGCGTTAAACAGAAGGCAAGGCAGCTACGTAAGGAAGCTTGCCGACGAGTTGTTGTCTCGAGCCCTGTTGTCTCAACACATGGACCCCACCAAACCCCGTATAATACAAGATATCACGGGGCACGATCTAGTTCCTCCATCGTACATCAAGTTTTTATTACAAAACAGACTCATAAGCACATTTAAATACGCTCCACGTCCATTACATTCCACACAAAGACACTTCATTCCGGATTCGCATTCTTTACCAAGCTCTTACAGGGCTCACACGCGCAACCCTCGGCTGGTTAAACAGCGTTCAACGACAGAAACTCTAGACATAGAATTGATAGATTTAACACAGGACGACACTTTCAACAACAAAACAGCCACCTACATTTACCAACTGGAGTCCTATTCTCTCACTGAAACTCCTCGCAAATTACCGTACCACCTTCATTACCTCCACCGGGCAGGATAACTGTACATTCTCTCAACACTTCATTGTAACTCATTACCAGCAACTATATAATGTAAACCACATTTGTATTCATTAATTATATAACTATAAGTATTATCACTCATTTATATTACACTTTTAACTATCATATTGTCTCATTGTTAAATAAACAATTGTTTAGTCTCTATTCCTATCAATAGCCATAATCTTTATATCACCTACAATCACCATATTTGCCCCTTTCACCATCTGTCCAGAAAAGCTCTCGGCATCCCAGGCAGTGCCGGTGTAAGCAGGTAGGCCTAAATAAATAGAGAGCAGGCGGATCACGATCCTTAGGGAGACGCGAGACGTTACACGGAGCCAGAGGCAGCGAGCGCGCCCGCAAGCGTGAGGACGCGAGTAAGTAGAGTCCCGTGCGTCGCGGTTGAGAGCGTCCGTCTGGTTCGCTCTCCCCCCGCTGGTTGGTGCTCCTCCCGGTCCGACGGTTTATTTGAAAGAACTTCCGCCCCGGCTCTCCGCGCTCCCCTCCGGGGGCGATAGAGGAGAGACTACGCTCGATCGCGCCTGCGAGAGCTTATCGCGCGCGGTCTCGACGAGACGCGCGCGTGGGCTCTCCGCCGCGAAACTTTGTTTCCTCTTGCCGTAGCTCCCGCTCGCGGGAGCGGCGGTCCGCGCGTGCTCGGACGCGCGGTTCGGCTGAATCGCCACTTTGACGGACGATGGAACGAGCATTGCGAGATGGGCGAAGAAAAGCGCGCGCTTGCCGCGCGTGCCCTGATCGCAGACGAATGTATAAGAGATTACCCTGAACGGTGGATCACTTGGCTCGTGGGTCGATGAAGAACGCAGCTAATTGCGCGTCAACGTGTGAACTGCAGGACACATGAACATCGACATTTCGAACGCACATTGCGGTCCACGGATACAATTCCCGGACCACGCCTGGCTGAGGGTCGTTTACGCACCCAAAGACTGCTTGCGCCGGAGCTGCGCTTCCGCGGCTCTTTCTTTCTCTCGAGGCTCATCCCCGCCATCGTCGTAGGAGCAGCATCGAAGCAGGGATCCGTGCGCGCTGCGCCACGGAGTCCCTCTCTCTCCTCTACGCGCAGGGTTTTAAAAATGCACGAGCCAAACGACGGCGTACGAGCGATGGCTGGACGTTCGCGGAGGAGCGCGAGACCCCTTTCTCGACTCGAGAAAAGCTGGTCATGTATGCCTTCGGCGGAACCAGGAATCTCGGGAAAGAGTGTGGCCGGTCGGTCTCCCCTACGCGTCGTCTGAAATGAAACGAGAGGCGATTTCCTCCACATCGTCGAGCGACATCGAACGCACACACGCGACAGCGAGTGTCTGTCTCCCGCGACCTCCGGACGAGGGGAAAGTCACGGAGAGCTCTCTCTCTCATCGGGCGCGGCTGGAAGCGCATCGTCTTTGTCAAGGTGGAACGAGCACAGCGAGGGAGGAGGGTAGGTTCTCTGCCGCGTCGAGCGCGCGCAGAGTCACCTCTACCCGCCGACCTCTGCGAGCTGGGACAACGAACGGCGCGCATGCCGGTCGACGACGCATGAGAGACAAAAAGAGAGCTTGTCTCCCTCTCTCGTCCGACTCGCGCGGTGTATGGCGCTGTCGCGTGCAAGTCCGCACGACGCACAGAGACCCAATATCTCGTGCAGATGTCTGCTGGTTTGGATCGCGAGCCGACCGCGTGTCCGAGTCCACGAGGCTTCGTCCTTCGAACGTATACACACGGACCGGCACATCGCGTCGTGACTCGTTTCTGGGGAGTCGCGCGAGAGCGCGACGCCCGCGAATGATCCGCCGCGCATCACGCACGATGCTGCGTTAAGCGCGAGATAGGGGAGGGGACGAGAGAAGACCGCACAGAGTCTCTGTCTCTCTCTCGCACCGTCGTTTACTACGACAAGCGCAAACGTTGACGACGACCTCAGAGCAGGCGGATTACCCGCTGAATTTAAGCATATTATTAAGCGGAGGAAAAGAAACTAACCAGGATTTCCTTAGTAGCGGCGAGCGAACAGGAAGGAACCCAGCACCGAATCCCGCCGCAGGGAAATGTGGTGTTCGGGAGGGTCCGACTATTGTAACGTCTCGCGTCTCCCTAGGGATCGTGATCTGCCTGCTCTCTATTTATTTAGGCCTACCTGCTTACACCGCCACTGCCTGGGATGCCGAGAGCTTTTCCGGACAGATGGTGAAAGGGGGAAATATGGTGATTGTAAGTGATATAAAGATTATGGCTATGGATAGGAATAAAGACTTAAACAATTGTTCATTTAACAATGAGACAATATGATAGTTAAAAGTGTAATATAATTGAATGATAATATTTATAATTATATAATTAATGAATACAAATGTGGTTTACATTATGTAGCTGCTGGTAATGAGTTACAATGAAGTGTTGAGAGAATGTACAGTTATCCTGCCCGGTGGAAGTAATGAAGGTGGTACGGTAATATGCGAGGGGTATCAGTGAGAGAATAGGACTCAAGTTGGTAAATGTAGGTGGCTGTCTTGTTGTTGAAGGTGTCGTCCTGTGTTAAATCTATCAATTCTATGTCTAGAGTTTCTGTCGTCGAACGCTGTTTAACCAGCCGAGGGTTGCGCGTGTGAGCCCTGTAAGAGCTTGGTAAAGAATGCGAATCCGGAATAAAGTGTCTTTGTGTGGAATGTGATGGACGTGGAGCGTATTTAAATGTGCTTATGAGTCTGTTTTGTAATAAAAACTTGATGTACGATGGAGGAACTAGATCGTGCCCCGTGATATCTTGTATTATACGGGGTTTGGTGGGGTCCATGTGTTGAGACAACAGGGCTCGAGACAACAACTCGTCGGCAAGCTTCCTTACGTAGCTGCCTTGCCTTCTGTTTAACGCCCCCGCGATGTTTATTTGGCATCTAACGGATTGAGTTTAAGAATAACATTTTTGGTCGGACAAGTTAAAATAGCAATTGATAAAATTAATTATTGAGTGAAAAGGACTCTTGTGACTTTAGTTATCCGTTGCCAGGGTACTATAAAAGTACTAATAATTAATGCCTACTACCAATGCTTTGGCAGGGTTAGGTTATGCGGGTTGTAGGAGAGGGATAATTGAGGCGGGTGGCGGCTGTCAGCTGCGCCCCTGAGATTGAAGGATGCTAAGCACTGTACAGGTTATTAATTCACAAGTTAAATTTCCTGATCTTGATGGAGAAGGGGTGGTCTTATGAATTGGACGGGATGGATAGGATGCTTGAGCCGGGAGGCACCCGTAAGGCGCTCCTCAGTCTGGACAAGGATAGAGGCGGGTAGCTCCAATAAGGCGCTGCCCTAAAAGCGAGCAAGATCTATGCTTAATAATGTAAGATTCAGATTTAATGGTTAATGAACTATAAATTCAGCTGGCAAGAGATGTTATGGCACCAATTGATTTAAGTAACTGAATAAAAAGGACAAAGATTTATGAATGCTTAATATCTTCCTTTCAAGAAAATGCTCGAATAAGAGGAAAAAGGCTGCCGATAAAACAAGGATGCTGCATAAAATTAAAATGCTTAGTAGAAAATATTGAAGGATTGTATGCCGATGCAATGGCATATGTTCGTTGTACAAGAGAATCGGTGATTTTAATGGAATTGTACAATAGCAAGTAACACAGTGAGGTAATTAAGGCGTATGCCGATGCAATGGCACACGTCTACACATACACAATAAAATCAGTTACAATTCAATAAATGCATATACATATATATATGTGGGTGGGGAAGGATGCACTTCATGAAATGATTTATATTATTCCAGCTTTTATAATGGATAATGTCAAGATCTTGTCGTTATTAAGAATATACTTTCGTCTAAATAAACAATGAGATTGTAAAAATATTATTAATCTGAAACCTTAGTAACTTGATTGGTTAATATAGAATAGTCTTTACGGATAATGGTAATAGCAGAACGCAGTATATTTTATATGTGCAAGTGCAGGTTACAGTGGAAACAGTGGGAATATTATATCAAGTACATAATTATACATGAAATTATAAAGGCATATAAATGTCTTATAACTAAAATAGCTAATGAGAGAGATAGATAGAGATAGAGAGAGATAGAAGGCTAACATGAGGGAACGTCTCTGTGAGCCCTTGTTACGAGATAATTTTTATTTTTATTCAATGTCTATTAACGAGGTGAAGGCCTAGGAGGTTGGAGTAAGCAGATTTTCAAAACAGAGTCTCCGGCGTAAGGAATTCGCCTGGAGACGATGTCAGAGTGGTGGGATGCCACTGCTGATAAAGATTCTGACTATACCAATACGGCTCTGTGCTTGGCACCGATGCCGTGCCCGCGTAATCCTGTGCTTGGCACCGTTGTCATGCGCCCGCAAGAAGGAATGGAAAGGGAATAATAAGTGTGTGAGCGTAGTTCACTGCGTTGACAGACACTGGGGTTTCGTAATCACGATTTAGAAAAAGAAGAATCTGAAGATTGTCTCTCTCTCTCTCTCTCTATATATATATACTAGCTTGTATAGCGTATCCTAAGGAAATCGGAACGAAATTCTAAGAGCGGTTTGAGAAACTAAACGTAGATAATACACTATTCGGATTATAATGAATGGTCCTTATGTAAGGCAGTTACGAACCGACATGAACGAAAATTTCAGCGTGACGCTATGGTATCTGTTAAATAATTCGACTTAGCGTATGGTGAAACGTCACTGGTTCACTCGCGTAACAATGTTCCTAAGGCTTAGATCGCGATTGTATTTCACTTGCGCGAAACGCGGTGTATATGAGTGTTGTGCATTAAAATATTATATACTTACTATTTATTTCAGTAGTTCAGACTTTTGCAGAGAAATCTCAAAGAACAGGCTTTTTTATTCCAGAATACTCTCAATACTGTTAGAACCACTCTAGCCACGGCACAACTCGAGCGGGGAGTCGACTTATCCGCACACTTTGAGTATTATAAAACACCGTGGATGTTCTGGCAAGTTTTCTAAGAAATCTTCCAGATTTTGAATAGCACAAGGCAAAGGCTCTGAAGGAGCGTAGGAAGAGGCTCTTATGCGAGACGACCGTTGTCCGTGGTGGCACGGTCGCTCAGAGACACTTTTCCTCTTTGCGTCAAATTAACAAAGATGTCTTGGAGGCTCTCCTAAGAGGCACGTCTGTACTGTATGAACTTCCGATGTCGACTCTGCGGTGGGAGCTGCTCCCGGGGCCTCGTTCGGTCCGGACAATGGAGCTCAAGAGTGGGGTAGGCTATATGGTAGGAGTAATGGGATACGAGAGGGATCCAGAGTAGGAGCGTTCAAGGTTTTTCAGAGTGGGACTGAGTGGCGTGATGCTGACGGGGCATCGAGACATCTCGGCGCGCCGCCGGATGTGATAAGGAGCGTGGTCAACAGGATGCCCTATGTTACCTGATATGGGCTCGGGTTACTCGGGGATTCTAGAGCATCTTCGGTGGCCCGGCTGCGTGCGTGCCTTATCTTTGGGACTTCCTGTCGCCAGTCTGACTTATTAATTTATATGTGCGCGTAATTATTTATGCCTTATAATATTATAATTTAATAAAAAGAAATGGTTAATATTATATATGTGTGGTTCTTAAGGTTATAATATACGCCTAATTTAGTATTATATGAATAGTGTAATAGAAAGTTATAATGTTAATTAGTTATGATTTTTATAAAGACAATATGCATGTGTTATAATAAAAGAGATATTTGTTATTAATGTTTAAATGTGGTTATTAAGAATTATTATAAGAAATGCATATTGTTAACAGTGGGTTTTAGAGTGTAGAGATTTATAATATTGTTAACTGGAAAATTAGGATTTCTTATTATAGGGATCCTTATTATTACTGTTGTTAAATTAATGTTTCTCGGCAAGGCTGAGTTCTACCATAGGGCTCTCTACTTACGTATGTCGGTAAGGTAGATCCCTTGGGTAGGTTTCGTTATTATTGGCGTCGGTAATTAATTAACAATTGTTATAAACGGTTCTTATGTATAAATTACCGAGTTTTAGACCTTATAGAAGCTTATGGTAATAGAAGATTCGATGAACAATTAATTTTTATTATTAGTGATGAGTTCAAGCCGTTGTATGAATTTAAAAGAGTGCAGTGTTTAAGAAGAGCTTGAACGTGAACAGAAGGCTTAAATTAAATTAAATAAAGTATTTAAACGTGACCAAGGCAAAAATGGTGGATTTCCAAGCTAAATAGAGTATTTAAGTGACCCCTGAACTTAAATAAATGAGGTTTATTAAATTTTAAGTAAGAATTACCAAATTTTGAGAATGTACTGTCAGAAGGATTCTCTGTTTGTGGGCAAGAATTAATTGTTTTCGTTTGGCATTATTTCCTTTTGTAATTAATATTCTGAGGTTTTGACATTTGCTTATGTTTCACTAAGATGTTCTCTATGTACGTAGGTGTTAAAAATATTTTAAATTGACTTTTCTTAATTTTTACGGAAGGTACGCATTACTGATGTCCCAGTAGTCTCTGCGTATGAATTTTAGAATTTTCTGAAGTCTACTGGTAAGTAACATTGTTGGTTTCTTATTAAATAGAGGTCTTTTAACGCTATTGTTAGCAATTAAGATTTTTTTTCTAGGCCTTATAGTTACTGAGAAAAACATGGCCTTTCCTGATTGGTCGAGACATTCAAATAGCCGTAACTTCTAAACTATCGATTTTACAGAAATTTTATTAGGACATAATTTGTAATACTTTGAAGGAGCCTTAAATCGCACCGCGCGATTTTCTAAAATTATTATTATTTTAAAAGATATGAACTTTTATCGATAAATTTTAATAGTAACAATTATCCTTTATGGTTGAATCTACCTATATGTCTCGCTGGCCTTTTAATGTAGAGGCGCAAAAATGATATGGTGGAGAGAACGTCGCAGGACGTTACACTATCCCGAGGTGTCACATCGCGTCCAAGTCCATCTTGAATGGGGCCCTTACCCGCAGAGGGTGCCAGGCCCGTAGCGACCAGTACGCGCCTCGGGAGGATCTCTCCTTAGAGTTGGGTTGCTTGAGAGTGCAGCTCTAAGTGGGTGGTAAACTCCATCTAAGGCTAAATACGACCACGAGACCGATAGCAAACAAGTACCGTGAGGGAAAGTTGAAAAGAACTTTGAAGAGAGAGTTCAAGAGTACGTGAAACCGTTCAGGGGTAAACCTAAGAAACCCAAAAGATCGAACGGGGAGATTCATCGTCAGCGGCGCTGGCTTCGCGTCGGTCGGCGATGTCCCGCGGTTTCTCGCGCGGGCACGCTATCGTGCGCGCATGTCCGGCGTCGTCGTCGTGCACTTCTCCCCTAGTAGAACGTCGCGACTCGCTGGGTGTCGGTCTACGGCCCGGGTGCGGTGACTGCCGCGTCGCCGGTAAAACGGCACGCGGCAAACCCCCGGAAGCTCGGCTGGCTGCCCGGCGGTACTCGCACGGTATCAGGCCGCAGTCTATCTCTGCGTCAAGCCCGTCGCAAGCGCGCGCCACGGTCACTCGGAGGCACGGACCTAGCGCCGTCCCCGGTCCTGGCCCGCTGTTGGCCGACGGTGATCCTTTGACAGGCCTTACGGGGCGACGCGGAGCTGGTTCGCCATCCCGCGCTCGCCCCAATACCGGTCGGCGACGCTACTGCTTTGGGTACTCTTAGGACCCGTCTTGAAACACGGACCAAGGAGTCTAACATGTGCGCGAGTCATTGGGACTAGCAAAACCCAAAGGCGCAATGAAAGTGAAGGTCGGCCTTGGCGCCGACCGAGGGAGGATGGGCCGCGTCGAGATGTGGCCTCGCACTCCCGGGGCGTCTCGTTCTCATCGCGAGAAGAGGCGCACCAAGAGCGTACACGTTGGGACCCGAAAGATGGTGAACTATGCCTGGTCAGGACGAAGTCAGGGGAAACCCTGATGGAGGTCCGTAGCGATTCTGACGTGCAAATCGATCGTCGGAACTGGGTATAGGGGCGAAAGACTAATCGAACCATCTAGTAGCTGGTTCCCTCCGAAGTTTCCCTCAGGATAGCTGGCACTCGGCCGTTCCACGGAACGCGCGCGAGTCTCATCTGGTAAAGCGAATGATTAGAGGCCTTGGGGCCGAAACGACCTCAACCTATTCTCAAACTTTAAATGGGTGAGATCTCTGGCTTTCTTGAACCTTGAAGCCACGAGAATCTCGGATCAGAGTGCCAAGTGGGCCATTTTTGGTAAGCAGAACTGGCGCTGTGGGATGAACCAAACGCAGAGTTAAGGCGCCTAACTCGACGCTCATGGGACACCATGAAAGGCGTTGGTTGCTTAAGACAGCAGGACGGTGGCCATGGAAGTCGGAATCCGCTAAGGAGTGTGTAACAACTCACCTGCCGAAGCAGCTAGCCCTGAAAATGGATGGCGCTGAAGCGTCGAGCCTATACTCTGCCGTCAGCGGCAAGTGGGGCGGGGGCCCTAAACAGCCCCGTCACGAAGCCCTGACGAGTAGGAGGGTCGCGGCGGTGTGCGCAGAAAGGTCTGGGCGCGAGCCTGCCTGGAGCCACCGCCGGTGCAGATCTTGGTGGTAGTAGCAAATACTCCAGCGAGGCCCTGGAGGACTGACGTGGAGAAGGGTTTCGTGTGAACAGCCGTTGCACACGAGTCAGTCGATCCTAAGCCCTAGGGGAAACCCTATGTCAATGACGGCGTAATGCTCAGTGCTCTCTCGAACGTTTCATACTGAACATGGCACACGTCCGTCGGGCGAAAGGGAATCCGGTTCCTATTCCGGAACCCGGCAGCGGAACCGCATACCATTCGGGCCCTCGTAAGAGTGTTCGTCGGGGTAACCCAAAATGACCTGGAGACGCCGTCGGGAGATCCGGGAAGAGTTTTCTTTTCTGTATAAGCGTTCGAGTTCCCTGGAAACCTCTAGCAGGGAGATAGGGTTTGGAACGCGAAGAGCACCGCAGTTGCGGCGGTGTCCGGATCTTCCCCTCGGACCTTGAAAATCCAGGAGAGGGCCACGTGGAGGTGTCGCGCCGGTTCGTACCCATATCCGCAGCAGGTCTCCAAGGTGAAGAGCCTCTAGTCGATAGACTAATGTAGGTAAGGGAAGTCGGCAAATTGGATCCGTAACTTCGGAATAAGGATTGGCTCTGAGGAGCGGGGCGTGTCGGGCTTGGTCGGGAAGCGGGTCTGGCTGACGTGCCGGGCCTGGGCGAGGTGAAAGTCCAGGGATCCGAGCTCGGTCCCGTGCCTTGGCCTCCCGCGGATCTTCCTTGCTGCGAGGCTTCCGTGGCGGCGTGAGCCGTCGTGGTCGTCCTCTTCGGCCGCCATTCAACGCTCAGCTCAGAACTGGCACGGACTAGGGGAATCCGACTGTCTAATTAAAACAAAGCATTGCGATGGCCCTCGCGGGTGTTGACGCAATGTGATTTCTGCCCAGTGCTCTGAATGTCAACGTGAAGAAATTCAAGCAAGCGCGGGTAAACGGCGGGAGTAACTATGACTCTCTTAATGTGATAGCCAAATGCCTCGTCATCTCACTAGTGGCGCACATGAGCTGGCATGGTTAAAACATGTTGGTATCCGAAAGTAATCTGTGCGGGCGTTATGAGCCTGAGATCCGTCCGCGGATGGTGTTGCTAAAGATCACCCAATGCTCTGACAAAAGGTACCTGAGCTGCAAGAGCTTGCCTGCTCGTGGCTCGGAACCTAAACGGGTTGCTCCTAGGCATGCGTGTCTGCCTGACAGAGGTCCTAAAGGGATTAAAGTGTGGCTGGCGAGGGTTGGTGTTGTCCCACGGGGCGCGCCGGACACCTCTCTCGTGCAAGTCCGCCGCCTCTGTCGGGTTGATGCGTAAGGAGCAACCTAAGGACGATCGAGTCCGCTGCAGACCGGCGCCTGCGGGGGATATCGATCGTCATAGGCGTTACTCATGTTGCCGAGTAATGGCCACGGGGGTACTTGTACCCCCTTTATTTTCATTTAACGGAAAAGCAACACGCCGCGAACGGACTTAGGCGTACGCGGACTGGCGCTGCTCATGTTGTCGAGTAATGGCCATGGGGGTATATGTACCCCCTTCATTTTTCTTTAAAAGAAAAAGCAACACGCCGCGATCGGACTTGGAGCGGTAGTGAGCCAGCTGTGTGCGTAACTATGACACCGAGGTAGCCAAATGGATCGTCATATTATTAGTGACGCATGTGAGATGATGAAGACAAACAGTTATAAGAGTCTGGTGTGTGCTTTAACACCTAAGACAACCTGAGTCATGGTTTCTCGCTCGCAAGGGGACGCAAACACGATAATACAGTAAAGGCGTCCCAAGTCTGCCCCACCTCCTATAGGTGCCCGCTGGGTGCCCGATTTGTTCGGGTAGCAAACGGGGTTCAGGTTCAAACTCACGGGGTTCAGGTTCAAACTCACGGGGGATACCCAGACCCCGGCCGGTTTTGCCGGTGCCATCGGGTATGATTCCCGAATGGGTAACTCATGCAGGGGTTAGCAGCCCCCGCATGATAGTAATTCAATCGCTGGCGACTCGGAAAAGGAAGCCTCGGACGAGGGTGAGCACGGTCCCGCTCCCCGGGAATTACGGGAGGGGACCAGTAGACGACGACCAGGCGATGACATACAGGTCTGTGTAATCCCACTCCCGTTCCACTCTCGTCGTTGCGAGGAATGCGCATCGATGGGGGCGGGAGACTACGTGGCCGTCACGCTAAAGGATGAGGTGCGCCACAAACAAAACAAACATTCCCTGTTGAGCATACACTACACATGCGAAAAGTGTGGTAGAGGATACAAGTCGTACCATGCGGTTACCTGCCATCTGCCCAAGTGTCCAGCAGCCAGACGCGAGGGGGGGCAGGAAATGGAGCAGCATATCCAGTGTCAAGACTGCGATAGGTCCTTTCCCACGAAGAGGGGCCTATCACAACACCAGCGGTCTGCACATCCACAAGCACGTAACGCGCAGAGGGCTGCCCAGGCAGCTCCTAAAGAGGTGCTACCAAAAACTGGGAAAGCGTTCACGGCGGAGGAGATCGAGCGGATGCTCGATCTCGAAACGAGGCTCCGCGATGAACGGAACGTTGCGAGGGCAATGTTGCCATTTTTCCCGGATAAAACACTAAAACAAATACGGGACAAGAGGAATGAGCAAAACTATAAACGGTGGAAATTTGAGCGGCTAAGAGGGAGCCCGGAAAACTCGGAAGCCTCTGGTGAGGAGGAGACTGCGGCGGAAGGTGCACCGCCAACAGATAACAGTCCTTCCCAACAACACCGGGGCTACGGCTCGGAAAAAGGGCAGCCGACTCCGCCGACCTCGACGCGATTGTGGCGTAAGGGAGCAATCGCTAAAGTGTTGGATGTGTTGGGCCAGTTGGAGCCCTCACATCCGGCGAATGACATAGTCATCCACGTCAAGGAGTTGTTGACGAGCAAGCTCGGCGGCGACGACATAACGCAGAGGGAATTGGACGCAATGTATACTAAGGCGTCAGAATTTTTCTCTACAACTGCCCTCCAACAGAACGGCGACACTGGGAAGAGGCGCAGGGGTAGACGAAAGGGCCTATCGGGACGAAGCGAACGAAAGGCCACGGTATACGCTAAGACACAGGAGATGTTCTGCGAGAGCCCTGCTACGCTCGCTAAGCTCGTGCGAGAGGGAAGAAGTGTCCTCTCCGCCGAGCAGCAGAACAACACGCCTACGACAAGAGAGTTCCAACAACTATACTCGAACTTCTGGGGGAGTTCGGGCAGGCGTATCATAGATAGCGGGGATCTACGGCCTACTGTTGCGGTAGATCCTGCAGAATTATTACGTCCCATCTCAGATAAGGAAATAATAAGTCGAGTCAGGTCCACTAAAATGAGAGTGGCCGCAGGACCTGACAATATCCGAAAGAAGGATATACTCAAGCATGGCGGAGGCGATGTACTGATGGCAGTATTCAATACCATCCTTTTGGCACTACACCAACCCAGTGACTGGCGATATAATCGTACAACAATGCTGCTAAAGGAAGGGAAAAACCCATCCGAAGCAAATAATTATCGTCCAGTCACTATATCGTCAATACTGAGCAGAACCTACTGGGGTATTGTCGACAGGAGACTGAGAGCCTCGATACAACTGAACTCAAGACAGAAAGGCT